ATTTACCAATTTAAACATAATTACAAGACAAAGAGGGATCAAAGACCACTTTTTGTCAAGCCAGCTTTGCGTATTCAGTGTTTGCCAAATTCCAAACAAATATTTTGCCAGTATTGAGTAGTGTGGATGATTTATTCATGACTAATATTTGGTATTTGTCATCTCCCACTCCTTGTGGGTATATTGTGACAAATCAAAGGGGCTGAATTAGCAATTATTTGGCAATCGGCAAATAACGAACATGTGGAACCAGTTTTAAACTGAAAACATCATAAAATTCGAAGAATATCAGCTTTACTTATTGTTGTTTATACAGAAGAATCTATATTTTAAATTATTCTATATCTATGATGACAACTAAAATAATTACTCTGATTCAAATGTATATTTTTTTATTTACAAACAAATAAAGTCCATTCTTTTTACCTCTGTTTTTACTCTTATAAAGGAAAATCTTCAGGTGAAAATAAAGATTTTTTTTTACTTTTGATTAAGATCTTCTCTATTTGCTAATCAGAAACTGCACCAGTATAATAAGTCTTATTAATATACAAGGTCCAAGTAGACAAGAATACATAATAAATTACAGTTTATAATGTTTTATAATATCTGTCACATTATTTGTTATTTTTATTTAAAGTCACTTGAATATTTCAAAAAGAAAACTTCTGTAATAATCAAAGATCAGCATAACTCTTTGCATTTAGAGTTGTCACGGCTAAGGTCAAAATCATGTTGAAAATTGAAAAAAAATTTCATAAGACCCATTTCACCAAAGAAAAACATGACTAATAAGCAATTATTTATTGTGGCATCATCACAGTGCCAGGCTGCAATTTGTAATCATATTTTTAATTTATGTAATTTAAAATATATGATCTACACCTCAAATTATTAGTGGCTTGCCCCCTGTACAATTCATCATACTTTTCCTTTAACAGTAGAGTTAGGCCAATCATCTGTTATATGCTTTCGGGGGAAAGGTTTTTAATTGAAATAACATAACTTTGGAAGTTCATATACAGTTAATCACAGTCTCTTGCCTCTAAGATTTCCATATCTGGTCTCATATTTCATCTGTCTAACTCTGTCCTTGAGATTAAGGAAAGACAGACATAATTTTAGACCTATAAATTCCCACTGTCATGGGAATTTATAGGTCTACAAGTTTTTCATACTACAGCCTAATTATTTGAAAGTTTTTTAGGTTGGAAAATTTCATTTATTACTGAAAAATAAAACAGCATATTATAGAAATAACTGGTTTATTTATAATCAGTGCATACTTTAAACATTATAAATATTACAGAAATTTGAAAAATTGTCGTCATGATGACGGTTATGGATAGTTTGGCCAGTGGTTCTTGACTTATGTGCCACAAAATTTTAAATTATTTTAAAATTTAGCTTTTTTGGTCACTTCTTAATCTTATTTGTATATTTTTATAAAAAGAAAATTGAAGATATTGAATATTGCAGTTTATTTATATACAGGGTGACTCAGACTATCCATACAGGTCTTTTTAAAATGAAGGGAAGCAAATTTCATCAAAAATCCTAAAAATTTTGGTAAGTAAATCAGGTATGCTCTGTAAAATGATGATATTTTTGATTTCCGGAACTGTCATAAGTGGGCTATCTGGGCCAGAATTTGAATTTTTAAATTTAGATTCAGATTAAACTTTAAAAAATAAGAAAATTTTCTCAAACATTTTTATGAACAGAAGAATCTATATCAAAATTGTTTTATGGTTAATGGAGAAGTTTTCTCCATTGACCATAAAACAATTTTGGAAGTGTAATGCACAGAGAAAAATGACACCATAAAAATAACAAAATATCTTGCATTACAAAATATTTTCATAAACGTACATTGACATAGGCAAAACAATAAAAATGTTTGCATAATAATCATATTTAATTGATGTGAACTAACAAAAATTGTTATTGCTGCTAAGTAGTATTTTTACTTATTTAAATTCTTCTGGTATAACCTATTTTAACCGTTGTTCAATCTAAGTATTTGAACTGAGCATCATTTTCATCAATGCAAGCATCTGGTCATCTTGAAAAATAATTTATTTCTTGAAGAAGTTCATAGGATGTGGCTACATAGATTGCCACGACACTTTTGATAGGTGTGTAACCAAAATAAAAACTCATTTGAATTGAAAACATAAACACAAGCATAATGTTTACATCTGTCAACACTGAATATTCAGCAGGCCAAAAAATATTGTGACAGAACTGTTGTAATAAGGTTTTGCCAGGAGGAGTTCATCACACTTGAGATCATTTTATGATCAACAGAGACATTTTCATAAAAAACGTTTGAGACAGAATTATTTTATTATTTCAATTTATCTGAATCTAAATTAAAAATACCATGTTCTATTTAAAAAATTTGATTTTTGGTTCAGATAACTTGTTTTTGCCAGTATCGGAAGTTGAAAGTATCACCAGTCAATAGTGCATAAACTGATTTACTTGTCAAAAGGTTTAGTAATGAAACTCGCTTCCCATCTTAAATTAAAAGTGGTGTACGGGTGGTCTGGGTCACCTTTTGTGTGTATAAGGGTATTTTTGATGCAACGATGAGTTGTCAGTTTTCTCCTAGTTTGTAAAGATTGATAACCATTGAGTTAGTGAATAGCATGCCAAGAATTAAAATCTAAAAGGTTAAATATTTTACTACAGAATTTAGTATATATGGATATTTATTGAAATCTGTAAATTTATTTATTTATTTATACTTGATATTTATACTTTATTTATTAATACTTGATTAAATAAAAATTTTAATATCATACAGTTTCATTCAGAATTAAAGAATGATATGCAAAAAATAAAATCTGTATGTATTTTAATTATTGAATTTAAAAAGTACAGAATAAAGTAAAAATTAGGTTAAAAATCAGTGGAATTTATAGATTTTATGAACTTTAAAAAAGTTTTAACAATATATTTTTGAAGACAGACGATTGCTGGATTACATCTGGCTATATTAATGCTACTATTAGCCAGGGCTGTGGAGTCGGAGTTGTGGAGTTTTGGCATTTTAGCCGGAGTTGGAGTCGTCAAAAATCCGCCGACTCCAACTCCTTTTTACTTACCAACTTGTTATGTATATAAAACGGAAAAGTATTGGAATCATGTCAAATTTGACCCTCCAAGTTTTTTTTTTTGAAAATCTATACGTTTGGAGACCTCCTGAACCCCTCAAAAAAGTCAGTAAAGGGGAAAAATTCACATGCGCATGTGTGTGTTGGCATCTAATTTGTTTAATTTCTTTATTTTCTATTCTGAGATATTAAACAATATCTCAGAATGGGTAAAGTTTAAGAAATGAAATGTGGCACTGTAGCTTGTGTATAAAGGAGCATTAATACTATTAAATTTTGGTTCTTAATTAAATGTCGACAGGGTGAAGACCTAAAAGTGGTCATGTGTCATAACACATGACCACTTTTAGAATGAATATTTTACTCGTTATTAGCATTCAAAATTAAAAAAAAAATAAAACAAAACTCGTCTCTACCCTCAAAGTAAGCTTTTTAGCCATTTTATAATAGTACAGTAAAACCCATTAAGATGTTCTTGCCTAAGATGTTAGAATGTATATGGGGTCACGATTTAGTTTAACCACTTTAACGCTTAATAACTAACACCTGTGTTAAACCATCTGACTCCGATTCTGACCACTCTGACTACGGAAATTATTAGGCTTCAAAAAGGGTGAACAAAATCATGCCCCCCCACAGTCTAACATCCACACATATAGAAAAAACCTCAAATCTTTTGCATATCTCGAAATTTCAAGGTGTCCTGAGCCCAAAAATGTAAAAATTTGGGAGGGGTCATTTTTTGAGCAAGCGCTACACTTTTCCACTGTTATATATAACAGCCGGAAAAGTAAAAATTATCGAATACATATTTATATGTGTATTCTCTAAGTAATATATATTTATATATTACTTAGAGAAGTCTTTTAGCTTTGGAATAAAAAGTTTCTACGTTCTATCTTTATTAGAACTCTATTTATTGAATCTTTTATTCTGAGGTCATGTGATGACATCAGAATTTCCGGATTTCTTTCAGTAACAAATCCGCCCCTAGTCGGAGTTGGATGGTAAGGAAAAGTCGGAGTCTGTAGATTTTTACGCGACACTACAGCCCTGCTATTAACAATTAAATGTTAATTAATTTGGCCTAGAGGTGGGCATTAGGTACCATCTCTTAATAAATTTAATAAATTAAAATTAAAATGGTTACATTTATTTTCAATAAACTACAATTTTTGCTTTTATTTCAATTATTATTTTTATTCTCTGTATTTCCTTAATTCTAAGATACATTTTATTTATTTATTTATTTTGTCTGAAGTAGAGATGTATCTTTGTGTTGAAGGCAAGTTATGCTTACGACCCAAAACAATCATCACCAGTCATTGTGAGCAGACCAAGTGATGTGTTAGGTACCAATAATAGACATTCTCAGCTTCATTGATAACAAATATTTAATTTAAACTCCTTATTTTAATGCTTAAAATGCTTTTGAGACAATATTATGGTGCAATATTATAAAGACTAGTTATTTTATACAAAGAAGGGCTTGGAAATATAGCTGCTGAACAGTGTTTCCATGTACATATACTGAGATGTATTTCCATGCATCGTATCTAGCTTTCCTGTTGTTCAGTAGTTCTATATCCTTGCAACATATCTAGCTTGCTCTATATGCAGATGAAAATGGAAATGCAGCTGCATAGTATTTGTAGCTCTACAAAATTCAGTAAAATTGTTTACTTAAAATTAATGTTTTTTAATAAAAATATCTTAAAAATTAATTCTCAAACTTACAATATACTTCTGAATTGAGGAAATATGGTATTAGAATATTTTCTATTCAATAAAAGTAGAAAGTATATTTTAAAAAAATATTATGTATTAATTTAATTATGTTATATTTTAATAAATTAAATATATCGTCATTTAATCCATTATTGTTATTTTATATGTAGAAAGAGACAAAGTTGAGCCAACGGAGAGTGAAATATTTTACTTGAACAGGTTGAAGTCAATTATTAGGCAGATATCAGAATCCAGGTAGGTATAAATTATTTAAAAAATAAAAATTCCGTATACTTTAATATAAATGATAATTAATAATTTTATCCGTTTTTGATTTGCTAAATCTTAACTTATTAATAATTTTTACACAAAAATTAAAATATTTTAAGAAAAATATTAATGTTATACCAAATGATTGGCCATGTTTTATCAGGCTCAATTATGGCTACAATTAATAATTAGTTATAAAGAAATTTTGCCTACCTCTAGGCGATTAAGATGCCATTTCGTAACTGGCAACGTGCCAGCATGATAAACGGGAGTTGCAGATTTGAGTCTCATTCTGGGTCAATTCTTTTCATCCAGAATTTTCAAATGTAAATATTAAATATTAATTTATTATGAGATGGCAATTTTTTGATTCTCAATTAATATTTGTATTAATGTTACAAATTTCTTATGTATTTTTAGTTTCAATACAAAGATTAAAATTTCTCTTAAGGTATCAAAGAAATTCTAAAAGTGAATAATATTTACTTACAGCGAAGCAGTTGAAGATTCCTCTAAGTTTGAAGAAATTACGGATAAAGAACTTGTTTCGAGTTTGACACCGGCCAGCGTCGTGGAAATACATACTCCTGAAGCTAAAGGTTAATAAATTTAATGAAGAATTTATAAATAATTACAAAAAAAAAGAATCTATATTTGGTAATTACGTAGTATCTAAAAATATTCTTAAATCTCAAATTATTTAATTGTTTGAAAAAATATAGTAAAACAAATTCGAACACCCTCTAAAATAAAACAGAATACACAGATTACAGTAATAGTTTGTCTTTTGAAAATAATTTTGCTGAAAAAAGTGTTTGTGATTTTAGAATTAGTGTACAAACATTAAAACATATTATTTATAAACATTAAAAAGATTCATAAAAATAAGAATGCAAGGATGACTGTGATAAGAAACTTGTCTACAAATATATTTACCTACTTTACAACTGCTGTATTTGTTAATATATGATTATCAATTAATGCAATCAGGTCAATCATCTCTAATCTTGCAGTCAATAATCCAATTCTGGCACTAATATCGGCTGGTGTAATTTTAAATTTTCTGTGTCGCTGTACCAACCCGCTGCTGCTGTTTGGGGTAGTGAACATCTCCAGATGTATAATGATCTGATGAGAATTTTCATTTAATTTTTGTTCCTTCTTTATTAATCAACTTTTAATTCACTGATTTATAAGGTATTTTAGAGGTAGGATGAGGTGGTTAGTTATTGGATTAAGTGTATTTCAGCCTAACCATCTGCTATCCGACATGCTATGGGTTTCAGTGTTACCAGATTAGTAACTGTCAACCTGTATTAATTAATGCTTCATTAATTGCATTAATTAACAATTTTCTTGCTAATACAAAAATCATTAAAATTACAGCATTAATATGTTTAATAAAATATTATTATATTAAATTATTTTTACTCTGTATTAAACAGATCTTAATATCGTTACGAGTTAGTGGAGAGGTTTTTTAATTTTGCTAAAATACTTAATTTAACATCCATTTGAGGATGTAGTAACAAAGTCGGAATGTAGAACCAAAGCTATAATTTGTTTAACTAGTGCAGTTTCTAAATAATATGTAGGGTGTGAGCACTTGTTGACTAAAGGTCTTAAAGACCAATTGGGTTTATGCGTCTTTGCTTGAAAGAATAATCTGGGGCACACAACATTGGTTGGTGGATTGAGAGGACCTGTTAAAGAGGTTATGATCCCTGGAAGTGCTATAAGTTTGTGTGTCTTTCTTAATACTGTTGTAGTTGGATCCTGTTTTAGTGTGATTGATTTGGATTGGTCAAGGAAATTGTTGGCTCTTGTTAGGAAATCTTGGTTTTTGCATAATACAAATCTTTTGTCTTTATCTGCTACTAGTAGATTTAAATGATTGGATGTGAGGAATGTCTTTACTGTCTGAGCAATCTTCATATTTGATTTCTTGGTTTTCGAACATTGTTGTGTTGCTATGTTGGTTATTTTAGACAGCTCCAAATTGGGTTGTAACTCTGGACAGCAGGTGTTCTTTATGGCCACCATAATGGGAGGAATGAATTGTGAGTAATTAAACCTAGGAGTTGGTATGTGTTTCGACCTCTGTATTAATGTTTGATAAATATTTTCCAGTATCTTTATACTTGTGAAGTTGTAGTACAGAACCTTTATAGTTTTGGTGTGTTTTCAGCAAGATGGTTTTTGTAACCAATTGAATTTTTTGTTCAGTTTCTTCCTGATTTCATGTACCTTTTTGTTGGCTATGTTTCTAATAACAACCCACGAAAAACCTTTTTTACGAGTGTTATGTCACTATTAAATTCCACAAGTACTTTCGACCTCCACCGAGGTCTGCTTCAGGTGGTGACTGGCCGTGTTTTGACCCGACCGTCGTAACGATGTTGCCAACGATGTAAATAAATAAACGTGCGCGTCGGGTTTCACCCCTCCGACCGCTATTGCTCGAACTCCTCGAATAAATACTTCCACGCCTGTGCAAGTGTTTCCCCATCCCTGTAGTTGATGCAGTTGCCCCCCATGATAGCTTTGTGAATCTCCCAGGTCTCCAGGTGACGGATGTGATCAGCGCGGAACGCGGGTCTGATAAGTTTGGTGTTCCGGAAGTCCGCCCTTATTTCCGGGTCGGTGACATAGGTCGATAAGGCAGTGGTGTGCCTTTTATGCTTAATATCAGCCTGGTGTTCCCGTATTCGTTTCTGTGTTGATCGGATGGTGGAGCCAATGTAAACTAAGTCTCTATTGAATCTGTCGTCCCGTACGGGAATGGAGTAAACACCTGGGGCCCTGGTGAGATCCATTGCGTCCTTCGCGTTGCGCAGCAAGTCGTAAAGCGTGCCGGTTCTTAAGTACGCGATTTTGGTGCGGCTGTTGCTAGCGATCTCCCTATATAGGGGGTCTAAATGCCGGTTGAA